GTGTGTGTGTGTGTGTGTGTGTGTGTGTGTGTGTGTGTGTGTGTGCGTGCGTGCGTGCGTGCGTGCGTGCGTGTGTGTGTGTGTGTGTGTGTGTGTGTGTGTGTGTGTGTGTGTGTGTGTGTGTGTCCCAGGGCCCCCTTGACTTCTGTCCGCCAGCGGGTGCCATGGCGGAGCTGGAACTATCGATAGGACCCAGCAGCGTGTTAGTCGCAGTGGGAGACGGGAGCTGTGTGTTACTGGAGGGGGAGGGTCAGGAGCGAAAGAAGGACGTACATGTACATGAATCCACGCTGGTTTCGAGAGTACGCATTGCGCAAATGTTCGTATAACGCGGCCGGTCTCGCGGATCGAGGGGCCGTGTTCATGTACATATCTGGGCACGTATGTCCTTTGTGGGCTCCCTAGAGGGAGGACGAGCAGGAGGAAGAGAGGAAGCACACGCGGAAGGAGGAGGAGGGACGGCAGGAGCAGGAGCAGAGAACCAGGGGAAGGCGGAGCAGGGGAAGGCAGAGGGCGACAAGGACGAGGAAAGCCTCGGGTCCAGAAGCGGGGCCCGCGATTGGGCGAGAGCACTGAACGACGGGAGCCGAGCGCCGATCCTGAAATGCGTCCACCGTTGCAGCCGGAGTACGTTTTGAAGCACCAACCGTCCCGACCCGACATGCAGGGTCCGGGTTGAAGAAGGAACACTTGCTTTTCCAAAGGGGTTCGGTCGTTTTTTGGTTTGCATGCGTTCCGCGTTTTTGTTGGACGGCGAGCCCCCCTGGTGTTCATTCTGGCTTCGCAGATTTACTTGGACAAAAAGGGGCTTCGTTCTTTCTTTATCGTTCTTTAGGTCAGGCCGAGTACTGTACCGTATGAACGAAATCATGTTGAAAGCCGATTCGCACGCAACAGAAACGAAGGAGGAAGAACCCGCCCGTACACACTCAAACGGTGAGCGGAGGTTCGTGTTCATGCCGATGAGTTTTGGGGAAAAGAAATCGGGAAAGAGAGGGGCGAGGGAGGAGAGAAGAGGAAGAGGAGGGGGACGACGACGAGGAGCAGGCCCAGGGAGAGGGAGACGGGGGGCGGCGAGGAGAGGAACGAAGGGGAGGCCGAGGGCGACCAAGAGCGGGGGACGGATCGCGAGGTCTTGGCCCAGGGCGAGATGGACCCAGACTCAGGCGATCGCAAGCATGGATCCAGGGGGCGTGGATTGGCGACGGGCCCCGTTTGCATGAGAAATCGCAGCTTCCCGCCGCCGAGCGAGGCGGCACCGGCCGCATTCTGCAGCCGGATCGCCCCGTGCAGCACTTTGCGTCCGCCAGCCTCACTTGGCCCCTGGCCTCCTCCTCCCCTTCCTCCTCCCCTCCTCCTCCTCCTCCTCCTCCTCCTCCCCTTCCTCCTCCTCCTCCTCCCCGCATGTTTGCGCGCCGCCGACACACCTCGGGTCGCCTGCCCCCCCGGAGCTCTCGGCCCCCTTCCCCGGCGGGGGCGGCGGTCCAGCCAGCGTCGCCCCTGCAAGGCCCCGAGGATGAGGAGGAGGAGATGGCCGCGTGTCACACACACACACCGTGGTCGAGCGATAGAGAGCGAGAGAGGGAGGGAGGAGGAGAAGGATGAGGAGAGGAGGAGGAGGAGGAGGAGGGAGGAGGAGGAGGAGAAGGAGGAGGAGGAGGAGGAGGAGGAGGAGGAGGAGGAGATGGCCGCGTGTCACACACACCGTGGTCGAGCGATAGAGAGCGAGAGAGGGAGGGAGGAGGAGAAGGACGAGGAGAAGGGGGAGGAGGAGGAGGAGGAGGAGGAGGAGGAGGAGGAGGAGATGGCCGCGTGTCACACACACCATGGTCGAGCGATAGAGAGAGAGAGAGGGAGGGAGGAGGAGAAGGATGAGGAGAAGGGGGAGGAGGAAGAGCAGGAGGTGGATGGCTCCCGTCCTGCCCGGGCGCATGGCGGCCCGCAAAAGACACGAACCTAGTAAGCATGATGATACATGCGGGCGTGGGCCCAACACTGAATCAGGGTATTGCGCATGTCTAAGGTATGCTGTGCGATTCATCTGTTGTAAGCTACGGACGTGATGCACGTTACGTGGGGCAATCCACCTTGCAGAATTGAAGCCGTCAACGCCACTGCTCGCGCAATCGTCCCATCTCCCCACCCGCAAATTGCTTTGCACCATCCATGCGGCCACGATTGCTCAGACTACTTGACCATGGCTGGCGCATGTCCTGCGGCTGCGCTAGCGCGCGCAACCTCGCGCGCGGAGCGGCCAGCTGGATTGGCATAACTGACGCGCCTGCGATAGCGCACACCGGTGGGAACTTCCCAGCGCGTCACAAAGGCCGCGCTGGCGCGCGGGCATTTCAGCACGAATCGGTGACTCGGGTGGGTGCGTTGCGGCATCATGATGGCGACGGCAACGACGGCAACGATGATGAAAGTAGCGATGGTGGTGGCGACGATGAAGATGACGACGGCAAAGCCAATGTCGTTGCCGATGCTGGTGACGACGATGACAATGGTAATTGTCATGTGTCGGAGATGACGATGATTGGCTCATGGTGGTGGCAATGGCAGTGATTGGCGATGACGGTAACGGCGGTGATGCGTTGGTGTTGATGAGAGTGATGGTGGGGAAGTGTTCCCGCGCAGGAATGCAAGAAGCATGGCAAACGCTTGGTTGAAATAATGGATGCTTCATTGAAGTGCCTTATCTCGAAAGACTTCGGACACCCAAGGTGTTGGACGGATTTCGACACGCGCGCGTAGCGGCGAATGCGCGTGGCCCGCATGATGTCATCTGATACGGATTCGTGCACTCTGCACACGATGGATGAACGCGGACGCACCGCATGGTGTAATGAGAATGCGGCGTCGTGCAAAATTGTTAGACACATGGGTTCGGGCAAGATTGTTGTACTCATACGACTTTACCATGAGTTTGGCACATGCGTGCGGGCAAACAATCGGCCAGATTCGCGATGGGCAACCTGGGGGTGCCTAGGGTTACACTTGCGAAACTAGTGTGTGGTATGGTGTCCGCGTGTGCGCTCGCGTGTGGGTTGTGTTATGCTGTCTGCTGCAATGTATTTTTAGGCATCATCGCTTTAGATAAACGCGTGCGCGCATAGTATTATTTGACAGGGGTGAACGGGTGCGATACCCCATCGGATGGTATGATTCCGTGTGCAGGATGGACGAGGCGGCAGGAACAGTCGTACTTTGCAGAGTCCCATAGAAGGGGGCGATAGAGAGGGGTAGAGTCTAGAAGGGAGAAAATATTCAGAGATATATCTGTGGCGTGAATTATTCGATACAAGCCACGTGGTGCAAGCTGTGTGGACTAAGCTATGTGATGTATATAAGCTATGTGGACTAAGCTAAGCTATGTGGACTAAGCTATGCGATGTAAGCTGTGTTGCGCCCACGGGGCGCCAGCTGCTGCCCACGAGGCCCAAACCTCGCCACACGGAGATCTCGCCACACCCGTTTCCGATGATTCGCCAACCGCAGTTCGGAAATCTTGAGTGCAAGCACGATTTCGGGAAAATCCTCCAATTCTGAAAATTCTAACCCTGATCCTTCCTCCGTATGTTCTCGCCCTCACCCATCTCTCTCTCTCTCTCTCTCTCTCCTCCCTCTTGCATCCCCCCAGTTGTCTCCCTCTTCGTCCCCCCCTCTTCCGACCTCCCTTCGCCCTCCCTCCCTTCCCCCCACTCCCCCATCTCTCCCTCGGCCCTTCTGACCGCTGTGGGCACAGCCCTTGGTGGTCCCAGAGAGCCGATTGCAGGCAGCGAGAGTGACCTAGGGTGGCCACCCCTTCCGTTGTCCCCCAGACGGCCGAACAGCCCGAGTTCGTCGTGCTAAGATGCCACAGGCTGCTTCGGGGATGTCGAGTTGGGGGCCGGGCAGCACGACGGAACGGCAGCCCGGACAGCGATTCGCCCTCGTGTGAAGACGTCACATCAGATTGTTCATTGCAGTTTGGTCTGGTTTCACCGGCCTTGCGATCTTTACCCATTCCACTCCATACTCTCTTGGAGATCAGGGGCACGAGCACGAGGGGGACATGGGCGGCGGGGAGCGGGAGGACGAGGACAGGACGACGGTGCCCTAAATTAACCACTCCATCATCCTCCCCCCCCTTCTCCTCCTCCTCCTCCTTCGCCCTTTGCCCATCCTCTTTCTCCTCCTCCTCCTCCTCCTCCTCCTCCTCCTCCTCCTCCTCCTCCTCCTCCGCGCCCTCCTCCGCGCCCTCATCCGCGCCCTCATCCTCCTCCTCCTTCTCCGCTCCCTCCTCCGCGCCCCCCGCCATTTTTTTGGTCTCCGCCCCGCCTCGTCCGCCTCCGCCCTGCCTCGTCCGCCTCCGCCTGATCGTCCGCCTCCGCCTCCTCATTCTCGTCCTCCGTCTCCTCGCCCCCCTCCTACTGGCCTCCGACTCGCCCTCCTCCTCCCCCCCCCCTCCTTCATTCCAGGGGGGGGGAAAGTCACTCGCCAGTGCCGCCAGAGGCCTCGTCCTGGCACGCTGGCAGGAGGCGCGCCGCAGGCACGGAAGCAGACGGCGGCAAGCACGGAGCATCTGACCCGATCGCTCGGGAAAGAAATCCCCCTCTTCGTCGTCGTCGAGCCGTCGCCGGCGGCGGCGGCGGCGGCCCTAGAGGCCCCGACCCCTCCCGCAGGGACAGCTTTCGTTCTGGGCCCGTGTCTGATGGCCCCTCGGCCCGGCAGCGGGCCCCAGACCCAGAAGCCGGAGGCGAGGAGAAACGCAGGGATTGAAGCAGTCATGCCGTTGGAGATCTGGGGCGTCGGCGGCTCCTCCTCCTCCTCCTCCTCCTCCTCCTCCTCCTCCTCCTCCTCCTCCTCCTCCTCCTCCTCCTCCTCCTCCTGACGTCGTCTGTCGTCGGTGGCGCCGCCGGCGCACCCGAAGGGGCCGCGGCGGCGGCGGCTGCGTCGGCGCCGGCGGCGTTGGCGTCGGGTCGTCCGTGGCGTCTTCGTCGGGCCGTCCACGGCGTTGGCGGCGTCAGCGCCGGCGTCGTTCGTCCCGGCGCCGCCGCCGCCGCGCCCGCAGGGGCTACGGCACGACGCCCGGCGGCGGTTCCCGGCGCGGCGGCTCGCGCAGCAGGCCAAGCCGCCGCCGCCCCTAGGGCCCCTGCCTCGCCGGCGACCTGGGCGCCGTGGCGCTTGCGAGTCGCGTTAGTAATTAATGCGAGTGGGTCGTCGGCCTACTCCTTGGCATGCATAGTCAGGACGAGAGCACCCCAAGCGGGCAAATCGTGAGGGCGTCTCGTGAGGAGGTCTCGTTTGTAAGTGAACCGCGAGGGAGTCTCGAGCGACAACTCAGAGGCGACAAAAGGGGCGAATGGCCAAGGGAAGACAGCAAAACATGTAGTCAGGTGCGCCGAAGACCGATGCTGCCGGGCGAATGCGTGTAATGCTCGCCCCTGGGCGATTCGCCCCTTTCGTCGCCGCCGACCATCCCCTCCGCATGGGCACCCAGGAAGATCGGCGTGCGCGCCCTTGCAAGAAGGAGGAGGAGGAGGAGGAGGAGGAGGAGGAGGAGGGGGTGGAGGGAGGATGAGGGAGGAGGAGGAGGAGGAGGAGGAGGAGGAGGAGGGAGGAGGAGGAGGAGGAGGAGGAGGAGGAGAGGAGGAGGAGGAGGAGGAGGAGGGGCGGGGGAGAAGGCGGGTGCGGGAGAGGAGGCAGGACGACGGAGGGGAGGCAGGGCAGAGGGCGGGGAGCGGGCCTCCGACAGGGCGAGCAAGGAGAAGGGCGGCGAGGAGACTCAGAGCCCCGAATCATCAGGGGTAACTCGGGTCAGGGCTAACTCGGGTTCGTTGTTCGGGAGTCCCAACCCGAGTTATCCCGGACCCGAGTTACCCCGGATGATTCGGGCGCCCAGAGCCCCAGTTCATCAGGGGTAACTCGGGTCAGGGCTAACTCGGGTTCGTTGTTCGGGAGTCCCAACCCGAGTTATCCCGGACCCGAGTTACCCCGGATATTTCGGGCGTCCAGAGCCCCGAATCATCAGGGGTAATTCGGGTCAGGGCTAACTCGTGTTCGTTTTTCGGGAACCCAAACCCGAGATACCCCGGACCCGAGTTACCCCGGATAACTCGGGCGTCCAAGAGACAGGAGGAGAGCATCTGCACCCACAAGGACGACGACGAGGACTGTTTCCAGATAAGTTTAAGTCGGGCCTGTCCCCCTACAGGGGGATTTTCTACGAAAAACAAAAATAGACCCCCAATATACCCCAAAAGGGTCCAAAGATATGCAAAACATACCATATTATTGTTTGATCATGTTTTGTTTATGTTTGGGGTATCTTAAATTGTTCGTCGAACATCCCCCTGTAGGGGGACATGCCCGACATAAAGAGAAGTGCGGGAGATGATCATGTTGGGTCTGACCTTCGGAAAAGCCGTTTGGCTGCATTCATATTGTTCAGGAGGGAAAGAAACACACAGACACAATTAATCCTCGATTCCCCAGAAAATATTGGAAAACATGGGAAGTGGGGAGGAAGACAAGAACCCACAAAATATGGGAAAATATAGGGAATATGTTTATTTGTGAGTATTTATTTGTGTGTCCTGGGGCCCCTTCAATGTTGTGCTGTGTGAGTGTGGCTCTGTCTGGTCTGCTGCAAGCTGCCAATCATCATCGCCTTTGGCATGGTCATCGCCATCACAGTACTAAGCGTCCGCGCCATCGCCACCATGCCCAGTCAATACACCCTAGGCGATACTTAAGAAAATTTACGTTTTCGGCCAGAGTCTCGATTATTCTTAATGTTCCAATGTAAGTCCTAAGGTTTTAATACAAGTTCTGGGCTTTTATTCAAAATCTGAGACTATGAGTTTCTTAACCCATGATTCCTAAAGCATTTCGCAGGGTGTATGTCTCGAACAAGTTTGCACAAAGTGGTTGCAGTTCATGATTGGCACCTAAATCTAGGGGATTCAGGTGCCTTCCCAGGGATCGCCGCGTTGTTCATGTCGCTCATGGTATGCAGTGGGGGTCTCGAAGAGGCCTGCGGCGAATCACCGCCTCCCCCTGACGTTTGGAAGCGCCTACATGGCCAAACGTTGCGGCCAGAGCTCGGTCAAGCTATTGGACTATGTGTTCACCTTGCCGTTGCGGAAACCCTTCGGGGAACGGGTCGAGCCTCTACGGCGGGAGAGGTGAATTTAATTACACCGTTGTAGCAGCGCCACGGACAATTTGCAGAGGAGTTAGCAGGGGAGACGTAGCCTGGGCCAAGGAGCGACTAGGACCTGCGCAGCACCTCTTGCGGCTGCTGTGGATGGCCGAACAGCCGCGGGCATCTTCAAAGTTACCGCTCTGCGGTGCTGCGTTCGGGGCTCCGTCGACATGCGGCCAATGAGTTTTGCTGCTCGGGCTGCCTTGAGGCAGACAGCCCTGCCATGTGCTACTCTCGGGCCCGCGGCCGCTTGTTGCAGCCAGGGTGCAGTAATGCTGTTCGAGGCGAGCATAGGAGGGCATGCACCGACCCGCAGTCGCCCATTGACCGCCGATGGGGGCCCGACAGCCCCGACCTGCCCGGCAAGGTGCGGTTTCGCTGTCGGGGGCCTCTCCATCGGCGATGCATCGCCGATTCCAGGTCGACGTTCCCCTCCCCCGTGTGCCAGTACCCCCATCCCTTATCGTTGCCCCCATCACCCCCCTTACCGTTGCCCTCCTGTGCCAGTCCCCCCCACCTTATCGTTGCCCCCTATCCCCCCCTTCTCGCTGCCCCCCCGCGCCAGTCCCCCCCCCTAATCGTTGCCCCCCTATCGTTGCCCCCCTGTGCCAGTACCCCCCCCCTTTATCGTTGCCCCCCTTTACGCGCCGGTCGCTGAAAGTAGGTATTTTCGTATTCCCAGATCCCAATCTGCCTCAAGCGCCTTCCTCCTGCAAGAATCGGCACGCTTTTGCTGTGTTTTGTTGTTCTCTGGAAGGGCCTGGACCCAATCCACTACATCCGCCTTTCTACTCCATGGTTCCGCCCACTTCTTCCGACCGGCGTGCATCGTTGCCCCCCCCCTGATCGTCCCCCCCCTTATCGCCGCCTCGTCGCACACGGCCTCGGCCGCCCAGCCGAGCTCACTGGGTAGTCGAAGGCCAGACTGTCAGACTGGATTGGGCCCCAAGGGCCAATCTGGCCTGGCCATATTGGAGGATTTAGGTTATTCGCCAGACTGGATTCGCGTTGGCTCCCTCGCCAGATTGCCCCCGTTTGCCAGATTGGGCCTGCCAGATTGGCGCCAGATTGGCTTCGACTACCCAGGCTCGCGTTGCTCCGCACGCGCGCTCGGGCCCGCGCGAGCAACACCCGCAGCGGCCGCCCTGCGCGGGGCCACGAGGGGGCGGCCGGCGGCCGGCCTGCTGGAGGGCGGCGGCGGCCCCCGCCCTCCCCTGGGCGTCGTTGTTCGTCGCCGGTCGTCGTCGGTCGTCGTCGGTCGTCGTCGGTCGTCATCCGTCGTCGTCGACGTCGTCGTTCGTCGTCGGTCGCCGTCGTCGTTCGTCGGCCGTCGCCGTCTTCGTGGTCGGCGGCGGCAGCGGCGCAGCGGCGGCGGCGGCGGCGGCGCGGGGGTGGCGGCGGCTGCGGAGGAGGGGGCGGCCACGCGCAGCGGGGGCCACAGCTGCGTCGGGCCTGTCCCTCTACAGGGGGGAAGGTTCAAACGAACGAAGGAACGAAATGCCATACACCTTCTTAGGCGATGCTTAAGAAAACCCAAGTTTTCGGCCAGAGTCTCGATTATGCTTAACGTTTCAATGTAAATCCCAAGATTTAAATAGAAATTCTGTGTTTTTATTCAAATTCTGAGACTATGAAATTCTTAACCCATGATTTCTTAAGCATTTCGCAGGGTGTACGCCGGAGCGCGTGGGCAAAAGAGGACCATGCCAGCCAAGGCTCACCGCTTTGCGAGGGCGGCTGCACGTCGGCTGCCTCTTAATTCACACCGTGCGCCGCTTGAGGACAAGGGGGGAGAGGGGGAGGAGGAGGAGGAGGAGGAGGAGGAGGAGGAGGAGGAGGAGGAGGAGGAGGAGGAGGAGGAGGAGGAGGAGGAGGAGGAGGAGGAGGAGGGAGACACGCAACATCAATCTCAAATCAGATTCAAAAGTAGTCCAAAAATAGTCTGGGGACGATTTTTGTTGACCGGTTTGGAGTATTTGTTTGAGGATGTGTTATTTTTCGTCGACAATCCCCCTGTAGGGGGACAGGCCGACTGAACAGCAAGGACGAGCGACGTTGCAAGTTTGCCCTCGCGTCCTTCCTCCCCGCTGCAAAGGGGAGGCGAGCCACGCGCAGAGGGGGATACAGGCAGCCCGCACAGTGAGGACGAGCAAATATTCAATCGGGCGGTCGCAAACATGGATGAAAGGGGGCGTGGATTAGCGACGGGTCCCGTTTCCATAGGAAATCGCAGATTACCGCCGCCGAGCGAGCCGGCCGCATTTTGGGGAGGGCACCTCCCCCGATCCATGGATTTGGCGACCGCGCACCAAATCCACGGATCGCCAATCCATGTTTGCGCGCCCCCGAGCATAGTATGGACGAGAGGTTTTCCATGATGGGCCTGTTTTCCACCACCACCACAAGTTGGAGGGGGAGGGGGTCCTCCTCCTCCTCCTCCTCCACCTTCTACTCCTCCTCCTCCTCGTTCTCCACCTCCTTCCCCCTCCAACTTATGGTGGTGATGGTGGAAAACAGGCCCATCATTCCAAGTTTTACCCTTTTGTCCCTCCCTTCGGCCCGTCCCTGGCCTGCTTCGCTGCCGCGCCCCGCTCGCAGAGCGTCGGCAGTCCCTCCAAGGGCCCTTTCATCCCTATCGTGCGTCCTTCCTTTACGGGCTGACTGCAATTACGCTCTGGGGTACGACCAGGCGGACGAAGACCGCCCGGCGGAGGATCGGGCTGGACGAAAGGGGGGGATTGGGAAAGGGAGGGTTGCGAAATCTGCTCATGCAGCTGGGTCGGTCCCACCGAGGGGCCCGTTCCTCGATGCATGGGCGCCTCCTGGCGCCGGGAGGCGCCGGGAAAATCAGCTACGTGAGCTGATTCTCAAACCCCCCCTTTGCTATCACCCCCTTTCGCTCGGCCCGAGAGGAGGAGAGGCGGGGGGAGAGGTCGTGAACGCCGTGGCTCTTTCACCCCACCGAGGGCACGGCGTCGCGGGCCAACCCTGAAGGGGTCGGCCACGCGCAGAGGCGGGTAAGGGGGGGTAAGGCCTCCTTAGAAGCACCCCTGCTGCTTAGAAGGCGTGGGCCTGGTCTATAGATGTGGGGCATGCGCCTTCGAAGAAGCAGCTTCCTTTAAGAAGCAGTCCCCCCTCCCCCTACTCCCCTCTCCGGGCCGCCAGAATTGTAAGAAGAAGAAGAAGAAAAGAAGAAGGATAATAATAATAAGAAGAAGAAGAAGAATAAGCATAGACGAGAGGTGAAAAGGGAGGAGGAGGAGGAGGAGGAGGAGGAAGAAGAAGAAGATGGGGGGGACGCCTCTTGGGGCGCTCTCGGGGTCCTGGAGGCCCCTTGGCAGCTTCCTTGGCCCTTCCGGAGGCCATTGGAAGCTTTGTGGGAGGCTCGTTGCGCCCGCGGACGTTCTTGGCCCGCCTGTCGCCGTCGGATGCCGTCTTGCGGGCCTCTCTGGGGGGGACCTTCTTGGGGCGCGTTGGGCCGTCTTGGAAACATCTGAGGCAAGATTGGGCTCTCTTTGATCCAACTCAGATGCCTTGGAGGCAGATTGGAGACCATCTTTCACCATGTTGGCCGTCGTGGAGCGGGAAGACCGATGACCTGGGAAGTCGATGAGTCCTTATGCGAGGCCTTGGAGACCATCTTGGGGCCGTCTGGAGTGGGAAGACCGACGACCTGGGAAAGTGGCGGGTCCTTACGGGGTGGGAAGACCGATGAGCAGAAAAGTTTATGCGCCCTTCTGGGCGGCCATCGCGATCGGCCGAAGGCACACCTGGGAACCTTTGACAAGGACCAGACATTGCCTAGAGTTCAGCACGTCATGCACCCCTGTGGCGAGCCAACGTGGGCGGCGGGCAATTGCGGCGCATCACCGCCGCCCCTTGCCTGTTGGAAGATTATATGTGGCCACACGTTGCGGAAAGAGCTTAGAGCTTGGCCAAGCTATCGGACCACATGTTCCCCCAGCCGTTGTGGAAGCCATCCGAGGAACATGCGGCAGAGACAGAAGAAGAGGAGGAGAGGGAGGGAAACAGAAGGAGGAGGAGGAGGAGGAGGAGGAGGAGGGGGAGGAAGAGGCCTTTGTGGCCTCCTGAGAGCTTCCTGGGGCCTCTTCGGGGCTTCCTTGGGCCTCTTGGGGCCTTTGGAGGCTCCTTGGGAGGCCCGTTGGGCGTCTGAGGGCGGTGCTGACGCCGTCGGAGGCCGTCTTGCGGGCCTCTGTGGGCCGATTGCGGCCCCTTGAGGGGCCCCTTGAGGGATTCGGGGCCGTCTTGGGGGCCATCTCGGGCGTCTTTGGAGGTCTCCTGGGTCGGGACCCTCTCGGGGCCGTCGTGGGGGCCTCCTGGGCCGTCAGGGGGCATCTCGGAGACCCCTCGGGCACTCCTGGGGCCATCCTGGTGGCCTCTGGGGCCGTCCGGAGTCGTCGGAAGACAGAAACTCAGCAAATGTCAGAATCCTTTGCGAATCCAAAAGGAAAATCAGTGGTCTTGGCCTCTCCATGCCATCTGGAGGTCCTCTTGGAGACCTCTTGGGCCGTCTTTAAGGCCTATATTGGGCCATCTTTTGTGATCTTGAGGTCATCTCGGGGGGCACCTCGTTGCAGGCCATCGTGGAGGCTTCTTGGGGGCCATCTTGGCCGTTTGGGGACGATGTCTTGTGCACGTTGCGCGGCGTTCCGGGTGGCCAGCGGGTTGGGCCGAATGTCCTTGTTTTTTTCTTTAAGAACCGCAGATTACCTAAAGTCCAGCACGCCGTGCACCCTTGTGACAAGCCAGCAGGGGGCGTCGGATCCAGTCGCTTTCGGTTCATCCCGCCACCGAGCTTGGTTCGTGGACAAGGGATTTCTCAGATACGTCTTGGCTCGGGAGCCTCTTGGAGGTCTCTTGCGGGCCTCCTGGAGGCCTCTTGAGCGTCTCAAGGAACGTCTTGGAGAGCCTCTGGCAGCCGCTGGGAAGCCCGCTAGCGGGACCGGGGGCTATCTTGGGAGAAAGGGCTCGAACTGTCAATTCGTGTTTCCCTTTTTGAGGGGCGTATAAGGCTCCTGCTAAAAGCCTCGTGGGGCCCTCTTCGGGGCATCTTGGGCCGACTAGCCGCTCGTACGACAGAAAAGCGAACATCATGTCAAACACAAGAAGCTGTTGTGTGCAGGTTGGCCTCTCGGATTGGCTCCCATGGGGCACCCTGGTGTTTCGGCGATGTGTTCTGGGCGCGTGCAAGAGGGCGTCGTCGGCATCGGTGCGTACATCGTTAGCTCTTCTAGAAGGGCAAGAGGAAAGATGCCTCCGGACTCGCGTCCTGTCCAACCCCGTTCGGTCAAGCATGTTGTAGCGGAGGTACGAGTATCAGATGCCTGTCCTTACTCATGCTAATTAATGTTCTCTGCCTCGTATTTCGACACTGAATCCCACGTAAATGCTTATACAACGTATCATGCTATTCCAACTCCAGCATCGTCCTCCTCATCCTCCTCCTTCTCCTGCCAGGCCCTTCGCACTCGGGACGCCGAACACATCTCATCCGCATATGCCATTGTCTTATATCTCATGTGTTCCCCCTCACCCCAGTTATAACACCTCCTTAGTTGCCTCATCCAGATCCCCCTCGTCCTCGTTCCACCTCCCAATATCCTCGGTCTCACCATCCTCTTCTCATCCTCGTTCTCGTCATCTTCGTCCTCATATCATCATTCGTCACCTCATCCTCGTACTCCGAATCCTCGTAGCCCTCCCGTCGTTTCTCCTCATCCTCGTTCCACCTCTCCCTCCACCCTTCCTCCTGTCTTAATCGACCGAGCAGGGGGAGGGCGCATGAGTGAGGACGAGCAACGAGAAAGGAGGACGGGCAAAGGAGCGAAGAGGAGGTGATGCAGGAGGGAGGAGAAATGAAGGGAGGGAGGACGATGAGGAGGAGAAGGGGGTGGAGGAAAAGGGAGGAGCGGAACGTGGGAGGAGAGGAAGGAGAGGGAGGAGGAGGAGGAGGAGGAGGAGGAGGAGGAGGAGCAGGAGCAGGAGCAGGAGCAGGAGCAGGAGCAGGAGCAGGAGCAGGAGCAGGAGCAGGAGCAGGAGCAGGAGCAGTAGGAGGAGGAGGAGGAGAACGGTGGAGGACGGAGGGGGAAGAGGAGTAAAGCGAAGGAGAGAGGAGGAGAGAGGAAGCAGACTGGAGGAACGAGGAAGAGGGACATGGATGGTGGTGAGGAGGAGGAAGAAGGAGGAGGGGCAGGGAAAGGAGGAAAGAGGAGGAGGAGGAGGAGGAGGAGGAGGAGGAGGGGAAAGGAGGGAAGAGACGGAGGAGGAGAAGGACCAGGAGGAGGACAAGGAGGAGAGGCGGGGAGAGGAAGGAGGAGGAGGAGGGGCGGAGGAGGAGACTCGTCCCTCTGCCACCTCCCGCGCGGCCCAGGAGCCGGAGCCGCCGCAGGTGACGCCCCATGGGCTGTGCTCTCGCGGCGGTCGGCGGCAGCGGGGCGAGAAGTCCGGGGAGGCAGGGGGCGGGTCGAGAGAAAGGGCAGGAGGCAGGGCAGCGGAGGGGAGGAGCGGGGTGCGAGGGGCGAGGTGCGAGGGAAGGCGAGGGAGGGGCCCGAGCGGAAGGAGAAGGAGGAGGAGGAGGAGGAGGAGGAGGGGGAGGAGAGAAGGAGGAGGAGGAGGAGGAGGGAGGAGAGGAGGGGGAGGAGAGAGGGGAGGAGGAGGAGGGGAGGGGAGGAGAAGGAGGAGGAGGGGGAGGGGGAGGAGGGGGAGGAGGAGGAGGAGGAGGAGGAGGAGGAGGAGGAGGAGGAGGAGGAGGAGGAGGAGGAGGAGGAGGGGGAGGAGCCGGCGGGGGGGAGGCAGGCGGAGAGGAAGGGAGCTGGAGGGGGGAGGTTCAGAAGGGGGGGAAGAGCAGGTGGGAGAGGAGCAGGAGGAGGAGGAGGAGGAGGACTGCGAGATGGAGCGAGAGAGAGAGGGGGAGCGAGAGAGAGGGGGAGCGATGAGATGGTGAGGAGAGAAGAGAGAGTGAGGAGGCGGCGGGAGGGAGAAGATGATGGTGGTGAGGAGGGGACTCCGAGTCAACATTGTCTCTGAATTGCCCCCGCAGGTCTTCAAAGCCGCAAAAAGCAACGTTGAATATCCAAAAAGGGCCCCCAAGATGCTCCCAAGAGCGCATCGGGAGGCCCCTAGACGGCCAAAGAGAGCCCCAGGATAGCGCCAAGACGGCATAAGAGAGCCCACAAAGAACCCTACGACATGACCAGACAGCCCAAGAAGACCCCAGGAGCCTCCAAGATGACCTCGAAAAGCCCTCAAGAGGCACCCGAGATGCCTCGAGATGGCCCCAGACGGCCCAAACAGCTCCCACGCCCCAAGGTAGTCTGGAAAGATCACGAGGACTGCTCACCTCTTCAACATCCTTCTCCTCGTGCTCCTTACTGTCCTCCGTCGTCGTCCTTCTCTTTCCTCTGCTTCATTCCTGCTCGTGCTCGTTCTCCTCCATATGCTCCTCCTTGTCATTGTGCGTGTCTTCCTTCTCGTTGTCCTCCTGCCCCCTCGCTGCCCTCCCCGTCATCCACGCTGTCATCCTCGTCATCCGTTGCCTTGTAGTCGATTTTGTCATTCGCTTCTTTTCCAAGCGACGGGCCCAATAGGCAAAATCGACGCGTCCCGTGGTTGCCCGATCAGGTTGGTTCACATGTGGCGAAACAGCCAAAACACGATTGACCCGACACGCAAACCGTTGCAAGCGCGGTGGCGGATCTGTCAACACCCATGAGTAAGCATGGCGAGGAGAAGCGGAAGAACGGAGGAGACGGAGGAAGGAGGTGGGAGGGAGAGGTGCAGGGCTCGACCTAAACGGTGTCTTGGGCGATGTCGTGGGCCGTTTTCGTTTCGACTTCGGTTTGCGATAAAGTCGGATTGGAGACAAAAGCGAGTGAAACCGAAAACAAACGGAAACGAAAACCACCGTTTAGGTTCAGCCCGGGAGAGGTGCGTTCGGGCCACATCTGACATGCTACCTCTCCCATCCATCCCTTCACGTGGTGCCGATTTGTTCTCTTCCCGCCGACGCGTGTAATAGAGAGTCGTATTCATATTGAGTTTTTGCAGGAGGGAGGAGGGGAGGAGGAGAAAGGGGAGGGGGAGGGAGAGAGGAGGAGCAAGAGGAGGAGGAAGAGCAGGAGGAGGAGGAGGAGGAGGAGGAGGGGGAGGAGGAGGAGGAGGAGGAGGGAAGGAGGAGGAGGAGGAGGAGGAGGAGGAGGAGGAGGGGAAAGGAGGGGGGGGAGGAGGAGGAGGATTAGGAGGAGGAGGAGGAGGAGGAGGAGGAGGAGGGAGGAGGAGGAGGAGGAGGGGGAGGGGGAGGGGGAGGGGGAGGGGGAGGAGGAGGAGGAGGGGAGGAGGAGGAGGAGGAGGAGGAGGAGGAGGAGGGAGGAGCAGGAGGAGTAGGAGGGGGAGGAGGAGGGGGAGGAGGAGGAGGAGGAGGAGGAGGAGAAGGATGAGGAGCAGGAAGAGGAGGAGCAGGAGGAGGAGGAGGAGGAGGAGGAGGGGGAGGAGGGGGAGGGGGAGGCGGAGGAGGGGGGATGAAATCAGGAGGGGGAGGGAGAGGGAAGTGGGAGGGTGCCCACCCTCCCGGAGGGTGCTAACTACACACCTAAGTTCACCCACCCTGGCCAGGCCATCCTTGGACCCACGATCGGTGTAGATGGCTTCCTGGCGAAGCCAGGAGGGCATATGCACATCCCTCTACCCGTCTAACCTCCATCCTACCTCCTTTGTATTTGAGTTCACCCTTCTTTGTCCTGTCCCTTATCCCTTGCTCCTTCCCATCGCAGTTTTTGACTGAGGCGTGACAAACAAGGGTCAAAGGCATCGACGTCGCACCCTGCGGACCTCGGGGCCGTCAGGCTCCTTCAGAGACCCGTCACATCCTCGCCCCTCCCCCCACCCTGGACTCACCACTGGCAGGAGCGCGCGATCCGCGGTGAAAGAGACTGAGTCGCGCGCGCGCCGGGCCAGAAAATAGCGCCCCTGCCAGCGAGGTCGCGCCGCTGGGGCGGAGGAGGGTGGAGTGAGGAGAAGATGGAGAAGTGAGGAGGCGTCTAGGAGGAGGAGGAGGAGGAGGAGGAGGAGGAAGAGGAGGGGGGAAGGGAGGAGGAGAAAGAGGAGAGAGGAGGATGAGGGGGTATAGGGATAGGGGGCAGGTGCCATAGAAGTGTGTAGGGGTCCGTGAAGGTCATGCCAGGATTGTTTTGTGGCGCACCTTTTTGGTTGGAAGGCGAGCAGTCCCTGGGGCGCGATCAACATATAAAACACGTTTGGGGCTCGATTCGTATGGGATTCCAACCATTGCCCCACAAGAAACGAAATACCCTTCTCCCCCCCCAACCCCCCCAGGAAAAATAAGGTCCGACACGGCTCAACCGTTGCAAGTGTGGTGGCGGCTACTTGAACAAGGTTGCTGAAAACAAAGTTTGAGGTCATTGAAGAAAGGATTGCCAGACACTTGTCAAGTGCACATATGGTTCCCAGCGTAGACCCAGAACAGCTAGGTTGTGCATTTTGGATGTGGAAGCTATGAAGTAAAGACTATGCTGTGCAATTCGTGGTTGACGATCCAAGAGTCACCAACTCCAATGCTCGAGCAAACATCCCAACCGCTCACCCTCAACGTTTTGCTAAAATTCTAGACGACTCGCGCATCCCCACCAGCCCGTCCATAAACGATGCCCAGGCGATTTGCAACTATGGGTGTAGAAGTAAGCAGTTGAACAAAGACGGGGGCAGCCGTCGAACCGAAGTTCAGGATCAGCCTGAGCATACCCAGGAGTAGTGCATGTGCGGATCTGTCGATATGGAGTCTCTTGACAGCTTACTTGGGTTACATGGGAGGTCTATTGAGGCAATGATGCTTGTGGGGCTCGCGTGGTGCCCTCGTGGGGGCCTGTGTGAGCCTTCGAGGCCCTCTTGAGACCATATGGCAGGACATGGTTCGAAGATGGGGATGTTCCAGCTACCGGAAAAATGCCTGTCCTGTCGGGGCTATCTCGAGGCGCTCCTGGAGCCGTAGTGGTGCCCTCTCAGGCTGCAATTGAAGCTTTGTTGGGCCGTATTGGGGCCGTCTTGGAGGGGTATTACGGTGTATTGGAAGCATGTTGGAGGTTATCGTGAGCCATCTTGAGCTATAGTGAACCATTTTGAATACCGTAGTTGCATTTCTTGGGATATCCTGGAGTCTTCGTTCGCCATCGTGCACGCTCTGACAGCCTGCCTGGCCCCCGTCCAGACCCAGGGTGGGGTTAGCGGGGGAGCCCATCCCCGAAGGGGGGAAATGGAGGTCGGAAGAGAAAACGCGTTAGGCCACCTCCGCCCAGAGGATTGGTGGGACTCAATTGAATCGGCGCAATGACGCCAGGACCTTCACCATGCAGATCCAGTGCTCGGGCTGGCGAGCGACGATGTTAACGACAACGGCGACGACCACGATGATGATAGTGACAGTGGTGGCGATGATGACGATGGCGACGACAACAACGATGGCAATGACGACGACGATGGCGATGGTGGTGAAGATGGTTGCGATGATGATGATGATGATGATGATGATGATGATGATGATGATGATGACGACGATGACGATGACGATGACGATGACGATGACGATGACCATGGTGCCGCTATCGATAATATCGATTGCGCTGCTGATGATGAGGACGTGCGCGCGCAGAACCTTGGATCGCTGGTATGTTGTGCAACGATTGGCTATCTCGTATCTGTTGTGGACCTCTACCCCGAAAATTGATGCAGAACCCCAACACGAGTGTGCAATGGGTTCGACATGAGGGAGCGGGCACGCGAGCTTGTGGTCCGCATGGTAGATTGTGACAGCTGGCGGAAGACGGTGGTTGCTGAACGGATCCGTCATGCGCGCGCGTGTCGTCGGCATGCCTTGATTCGACAGAATTGCAGGGACAGGCATGCACTCTGGTATGAACTCAGAAGCCGCGCGCGCAGAAATCTGGCACGTTTTGGCTGTCGAATGTGCTCACGAGCACTGGTTGAACATGCTTGAAAGCAAGTTGCGCCGAAATGACTTTGACATGTGGGAGTGCGAATGGCGGGCATGCGATGTGGTACGGATTGGTTATGAAATTGTGTTGCCAGTCTCAAAGCGAGCGTTTCGAATATTGTAATTTGATAAGGGGTAAACGGGGACAGAGTCACGGAACTGACTGCATTTATATTCAAGATGAACAAGCACGCAGTAGGAATATCCAAAAACAATACGCGGAGGTGGATCTTTAAACCCGGCCTTGGCATGGAGGTAGAGTCTCATGTTGCCAGTGTTTGTCAGATAGCACTCGGCCCATCCAGCCACCGTGCCTGGGTTCCATGTCCTGAGGCCTCTTAGATGATCATTGGGATCTCGTGGAGGCCTCTCGGGGGCCTCCTGGGGGCAATGTTGATGCCTCTGGGGGGCTGTTTGGAGGCTTCTTGGGGCTTCTCTCTTGGAGGCATCTTGGGGAATCGTGGG